TATGCAGTCCTATACTCTTCTAACGGATAAATGCAAGCAACATTTATCTCGTTTTTCATTTTCCAGAAAATGTCATACTTTTCATTCTAGTATAAAGAAAAAGCTTAAAGTTAATTAAAACTTACATAATTCGTTTCATATTCATTGGCCATAATTTCTGTTTTGCTACAAATAAGTGGCGATGCAGCTAAAAAAAGTAATAATCCAAATTAAAAGAAACCAAAATATTTTAATTGTGGAGTTGGCGAAGCAAGCGATCGATAAAAATTATTATTAATATTAGATTTGGAGAGAAAAAAGAAAAAGGAAATAATGCCAAAAAGATCATACCATTTAGATTAAATTCACACATACTCGAAAAAAAAAATATTAATGCTACACATTTTCTACTTTTCTGTTTATGAAATATCGAAAATCTAAGGAGGAGAAAGTTACATATGAGCTTTAGTCGGACTAAAGCGCTCATATTTAGTTGAAAACTGCTATAAGCGCAAAGTATATTACTTCCAACAATAAAAATAAATCACTGCAAACTGTGTGAAAATTTCTCAGTTGCATTATAGGTATAATGGGAATTGAAATAGTCTTGATATGTAAATAACTTCCGACATTCGAAAACATTATGAATTTAAAACTATGAAAAAAAAAGAAAAAAAAACTATAACAATTACTTCATCATTATAAACATAAACAATAGCATGGTAAAATAAATGAAAAGCTCAAAATGGCATCTGATATTGTTACAAATAAATTTATTTATTATTATTATTTGTCATCTTGTGAATATTTTCTACCGGTTTCAAAATAAACATTTGTTGGAAGATGGTCAAGTTACCACGCTTTAAACTTTATTTAGATGTACAGTTTCAGCTTGGTGCATAATTAGATCTTTCTTTTATTAATAACGAAACAATATCTTAACTAGCATTCTGGTAATAAAGACAAGCCAAAACATTTGAACCACTTATTATTTCACTTAAACAAAATTTTGTGGGATAAACACTTCAAACACTTCGCCAGGAGTAATCGAGAAATTGTCGAAAACACGTATAAATAATGTCTAATTAAAAGTAATTAAAAGTTGAGTAACAGATAAATAACAATAAAAGTGCATGCTAAGCCTAGAATAAAAGATGATTAAATTAGTTATCTAATCCCTAGACAAGTTTTTTTTTTTTTTTTTAAGTTCTTTTTTTCTCTTTATCCTGGATAAAGTGCACATCAATAATGCAAAATTTAAAAAACTCTCTATAGAAAATAATTTTATCTGACTATTGAAATTTTGAGATCTAATTTATCTATGGAATCAATTTTAATAACATAATAATGTTTTTAAAGGAATTACAAGAAAATCAAAATGTATGATTTTGAGGATTAAATTCACCATTTGACCTAAACTTGAGTAAAATGAAATGTATAAAAATGAATTTGAATATCAAGTAAGTTAATTATTTACGTGTCAAAAGATTTTGTAGAGATGATGAAAATGTCACATCTAATTGTACAATATCAATCGCAAACATTTAGAACATTTATATGATTACTTCAAACTTATCAAAGACATCTTCCACATCCTTATCATGCATTGATAACAATGGATTGGCTGGAAAACTAATTTGTATTTTCAAAAAATCCATTAATTATCAAGGAATATAAGAATGAAATGAAAATTTTGATCAGTGTTGTTATAAAAAGAAGGATTAATCCCATATCAAAAACCAATACATTTTCTAGTTTTTTTTTTTCTTTTTTTTTTTTTCACTGCAAAGAAATTAAAAACAGAATTGTAAATAAATAAATTCAGTGTGCAGTGTCGAAGAAGAAGAAAACATCGAAAAAGACAACAAACGAATTACTATTATGATGAAATATTCTGTAAACTTGTCTTTTCCATAGCTAAAAGAAAATTCAAAACATCACTTGATGATCATTGATGTTTCAATAATAGTACAAGAAGTATAGTTTACGATTGAAACGCTAATAATATTCATTTCTCTTAATATAGACAATTAATTGAAAAGTACACAGATTGTTTATTAGAAAATTGAAGGAAAAAATCATTTTGATTATTTAATTTAAACATAGCCTTAACTTCATTTTTTGACAAAACTAAAAGAATGGATTAATATAGCAACCTCAATTCAAGCTTATGTATTACACATGATTGGCTCATTCTAATTGTAAAATGAAAATTGAAAGGAGAGAGGGAGGGAGGGAGGAAATGTGAATGGAGAAGGATTCTAATGCATTTTCCTTCCGTTCATTATTTTACATACAGTATACCTACCCTAACCCTGTCTAAAACTTCATTTTACTTAACGAAATAAGGTCATTTCAAACTGATAGCTGTCAAATCTCTTAATATTGCTAACTAATATAGCACTGTTTCAACAAATTTATGTTCTAATTGTTTTTGTACACCTTATCGTTTGATAATAAATATACTTCATTGATTAAATTTTAGCAATATTGTCTAAATTGATCATGGTAAATGATTGATTGAATCCACTGGTTTTAATCAATTATCAGCATTCCAATTTTGCTGAAACATTTTCGAAAGATTAAATGATCGTTGAAATGCATCATTATTTACAGCCATGAATTATAGTTATATATGGCATTTAAAATGATTATCATTAAGTTACGAGTTATGAAATTGATCTTTCATCAAGAGCTTTTTATGGTTGTTAATAGTTGGGACATATTCATGACATTATTTTATGATCATTTTGCATTCTATCGAAATTATTCACATACATTTTCATAAATTCTTTGTTTTCTTATCGAAGAACTCCCATTGAGTTTCAAATCAGAATATCAATGATATCACTTTTTTTATAGATTACACTTATCAGTCTTACAAAATATTTTTGTTATTATCGTAATCAGCGTTATTCTTTCAAATATATAATGGGTAATAGCGCTATTGCTCTCAATTCTTCTCTTCTATAATTGATCGGTTTTTTTTTAAAGAGGGACAAGCCCACCCACCCATCACTAAACTATAAATAATCTTCTAGACTCCTATTTCAATTCATTTCACTCAATTTTTGTATTAACTATAAATGCTATCACATAGTTAGTAACCACTTTATGAATGCAATACTTTCAAAAAAACATTTTCTCAATCAATCCTTGAAAATTCAGCTATCACAAAATTACCCCCCAAAACAATAATAATAATAACAACAACAACAACAATTACTGTTGTCGATGTTTGATGATAATGAAGAAAGAGGATGAGGAAAGAGCGGAAGGGAAGAAACAAGAAATAGAATTGATTCATAATAGAACTTGAAAGAATAAAAGAAAAATACGAAGAGGCCAAAATGAGAGGATGGAAAGCAGTAAGCAATCCATCAATTGAATGGCGGCGATTGCGATGAAGCGAACAGAATGTGTCGTCGTTTGCGCTCGTTTCCTCCGAATGCCATTTTGAAAATGATATGATCCGTGTGGCAAATGTTGCGGAGTGCAGTCACACCAACTGCCATCCATCGGTTGAGTTCAATTCAATATAACTTTTCAACCGTTCAAAACTTCAGAAAAAGAAAAAAAAAAAAACTACGAGAAAAATGAAAGGAGGCGTGTTCGTATCACACGTAAACCATCTCACCCACTTTTGCATAGTCAAGAAACAATTCAATATTCATTCAAATCGAAAAGCCTTCTAAATAATCTGTAATTTTCTCTGAAACAAACACTTGATTTTAGCAAAAAAAAAACAAGAAAAAAAAAATGGAAAGATCACTTTAAAAATCTACAAATGAAAAAAAAAAAAAAATCTCTTCTAAAGAATGACGTAATTTCCAGTAATTAAAAAAAAAAAAAAAAAAACTGGAATTGATTTCATCATTCATCATCGATAAAAAATTGAATCTTTTTTTCCTCATAAGCTATTCTATGTTTTTGTCTACACAAATACTTCTATAACATGTCACATTTTTTTTACAATGAAAACTTTCCAAGTAAATTTCAAAATTGCAATAGAAAGAAAGATAGGAAACTTTTATAACAGTTTCTAAAAATCTTATTGTGTAATACGACTCTCATGTGTTATTACCACCACCAAATAATTTATAAATGTTAAATTTGCATGGTGCAAAAAGGACAATTATTCCTCATCGTTAGGAACTTTAATTTGAATATATATTAACGGTATATAGTCTTAAATTACTTTAAAGTTAGCAGTAATGCTATATTATTAGAATAGCATAGAAACATAAGCTAGCACTTATCGTTTATCCTACTATTACACTAGAATATCAATACCTTCCTCCTCTCTTCTCTTTTGCGATTAAAAAAAATTCATTCCACTGCTATTTCTTTCTTTTTTATCTCCCAAAAAAAAAAAAAAAAAAAAAAAAACAAAAAACGAAAGTTCGTCTTTCTTGTTACTGCCTAAGGCAATATGTTTATAAACTACTTAAATATTCTCTAATTTTTTAAATTAAAATAAACGCTATAATGTAAAATTGCTAAAATGGTTGCAATTGAATCAATTTTAATTATCCTCTCAATGAATCCAATGATACCCATATGCTAACTGTGTAATTTGAAATGAAACGAAATGAAATTGAACTGAAAATGTTCATTCGATATTAATCGGTCATTCAAAAATTGTTTTTCAACCTATTCCATGTTTGCATTTATAAATAGATATGTCAATGAAACTAATAAGAAAAATAATCAATTTATTGGATTAATGTACTAAACAGCAATGTCCTTTAAATATACAAACATTTGTTAAAATAGGTATCAAAAAAAAAAAACAAATTCCATTTTTCCCATTCAAAAAAAACCTTGGAGAAGAAAGGAAGATGACAACAAGCAAGCATTGATAACTTAAAAAGTGGTGAAATTGCTTGTGAAAATAAAAGACAAGAACAAATTTTCGAAATAAGAGCCAATTGCAGCCAGAAGATAAACAGCAGCACCAAATGAATTGTGTCGCCACTGAAATAGAACAGACGAGATCGATCGAGATGTTATGTTATTGAATGATGAGGAAGGGAGGGACTGGACTGACTGATGAATGGATAGATAGGACGGAGTTGTTGCTACCGCCGCCACCGCCACCGCCACCGCCGCCTCCACCGCCGCCGCAATCACCACCGACTATTACTACTATTACTACTGATATTACTACTATAACTGTGTTGTTGTTGCTTTAGGAGAGAGGAAGAGGGGGAGCCAAAGGTAGAGTGATTTGACAAAGGAAAGAGTAAGAAGTTCGTTAAACCCGTCTAAATTGCTCATAGCAAATCGAGAATAAAGAAAGAGTGTAGTAGTAGTAGTAGTAGTAGTTTGTATTGAATGATGTGGCATTCTTGACCTGTAGAGAAAGTGAAGTGGCACCATATATTATATCGAATTTTCACGATATGATATGAGGAGAGTTTTTATTGGTTGTATAGTGCAATGCTTATTTGAAATTTGCAATTGATTAATGATGGTCAGCTTTGGGAAAGATTTGTGAATGAATGATCTACCCATACACTTGCTAAAAAAAAAGAAAGCAGCGCTGTGGATGTTTGCAAGCCAGAAGAGACCATTAACTGATAGTCGATATGTCTGCCCAAGGCTGAAAGATTATTTTAAAGTGTCCTTGTAGCTTTAACGCATTTTTTGTTGTGGTTGCAAATGCGAAGCTTACCAATAGAGAATAATTTTAAGGCGATAATAATCTTCCATTGTAAAGATATCATCTAGCGAGCACAGTTGCGTTCTAAGTTCACTTTTGATGCTTGCTCAAGGGAAGTAACATTGGTGACGTGATCAGTGTAATGTGATTTTAGGATGACGTAGAGACAACTTCAGTAGCACTTCCGCATCATCATCCTAGGCATCAAGGAGCCGTAAATGCTGGTCCTAAATGACTCATAATTCAGATACGTACAAGTACAGTTTCTCCAACTGTTTATTGTTGATAATTTCTTAAGAAAACTTCTGAATCCTCTAGTACAGAACTTTTGTCTTCTTTATAGTGACCTTCAGTTCAAGAAGCTCAAAGTTTCTGCGAAGTAGAAAATTATACGTTGCAAGGACGTTTCCATCTTTGCAGAAGGACGATCGTTTGGCAAAGAGCAGTCTCGCACTAGATAGTGTTCAAGTTGATAGGTGCGTTCAATATCTGAGACTGAATAGGTTGCGATATCAAATGTAAATACGAGAGCTCCCGTAAATACGAGAGTTCCCGTGACTCTTTGGAGCAGCACGCTGACAGTACGAGAATGCAACCCTGGTTCACGCCGTTGATTAGCGCCAAAGACTCAGAGAGTGACTAGACGTTCAAGATTTCCCATAAATCTTTTCAGCTCATGAGATCAAGTGTTTTGGTGAGGTCAACAAAGGTCATGTAGAGTCTTTTGTTCTGTGTTCTCTGTACTTCTCTTGCAGTCTTCTGATCTCAGGTAGAAGTGCTTCTGCAGTAATGGGCACTAATCTATTTAGAAGTATTATCGCAAAAATTTTACAATCTGTAGAAAGCAAAATGATAGATACCTCGATAGTTTCCTCTTGATGAGTTGCCAAAGTGCTGCAGGAATGTGTGTGTGTATGTGATGGGATGAGATGGTCTGCAAGTCTGGTTTGTGGATTAGATTGTTGACTTGGAATCCGAATTTAGCCTGGAAATGGAGGGTAGAATGCAATCGGGTAGAATCTAGTTATGTCACCATTTCTAAGTCCTTTTCTCCATAGAACAACCAATGTTGTTCTTGCCTGTCATCTCTGAAATCTATCTCAAACAACCAAAGTCTTGAGCACACGGAGTTGAATTCTAATACACCTTTCACCTTTCATTCTCTCCTCAATGCGGACATGTCTTCCGAGCCTGAGCAATAAGTTTTTTTAGGTGAAACGTAGAGTGCGCGAAACTGGTTCCGAAACCCTTTGGTTACAGATCTGTTTCTAGTAGACAAATAGTTTTGCAGGAGTTCGAATTTGAGGTCAGAGAGTTGTCCTTCTCTCAAAATGGTTGCCCAAAACTAATGAGCCAGTCTGTCCTGTCCATGGACATTTGAGACCTGTCTGCTTTGGGAGCCTTACCGCAGTATATACGAATTGCAAGCATAGCTTACAAGCCCCTCTCCCAAGACAATCCCTCCTCCTCCGAAGACAATTTAATCAGTGAGCTAACTGAGCATCTTATATTTTTATACAACAATTTCTATTACTATGATTTTGCTTCATAATAAGGTTGATAATTTCTCAGTAATATCGGTCTTTGTTGAGAAATCGAGTAGGATGTAAGATATAAAACGATGTTGCAGTATTGAAAAGCAAGCAGTTGGAAACAAGGTGCTCCCGAACTACTTTTCAATTATTCATATATCAATAATTTCATGCTACTCAATGCTTTGAGCAAAAAAAAAAAAAAAACAGAATATGATTATTTACAATTAGCAATTGTCTGTAAACTCAGCAGACATTTTGAAATTCAGTACTCCATTTAGTCTTTACCAACACAATCTTTTGCATCATACATAGTCAGAAAATGGACCGAATACAATAAGCAGAAAATGAGATATTTTAATTACAAAAAATTGAGTTTGCAAAAAGTTAAAATCAGTTCCATCTGCAAATCTCGACTGCAATGAATATTTCCTGACGGCTTATAGCTACACAAACCGGAAAAAGGAGCATCAGTGGAAATAAAAACGAAATTATTTTCCTTGATTGCAAGAAGGAAACTATAACAAAAATGTCTGCAATATTTCGATACGAAATTATTGCTTTATTCTCATCTAACACTTACTAGTTTTAAGTTTTAAGATAAAGAAGCTGTTTAAAAATAAATAAATAAAGAAGTTGTCGACATTCACATCACACAGTAGTTATGATTTCGAAAATTTTGATTCTCGCAAATAGCAGAAACCGTATTTCGAAGAGTATTTTAACACGGAGAAAGAGAAAAATGGATGCAAAGAAGGTAAACAGTGTGGGACATAATTAATATGACACGCGAAGTTGAAATAAAAATATGAATTAGTATCCCAATGACATAGAGATTAGGGCTGCATTATGATTAGACACGAAAGATAAAGAAAGGAGGAAGACTATTAGGCAGCTACAAATATTAGACGAATAGTTCCGGAACTGGTGTGTTTCTTCACGATAATTTATTCTAAACACTTTCCCAAAGATATAATGCATCTCGAACATAAACAGAAGAGGAGAAATATCAGGCAAATACATTCAAATTATTTTTAAAATTCAGCGTTACGCTTGGATAAATTGAATAAAATCTGTTAACCAATTTAATTAAGAAAGCAATTGGAAATTATTACAATAATCGAAATCTCCAGTCAAGCGAACCTGCTAAATCTGGGCTGAAAACCTCTTTGCATCAATAGCTAAACAATGTCAAAATAAGGTATATTTTAGAAAAAAAAAAAAACAAATTGAAGGAAGATTATAATGTGTAGTTCAATATAGATCGAATATAACGGAATGGTCTCCTAATTAAGAAATTTCGCGATCCTTCAAAAACGTCTGATAACAGTAACAGGAATGAAATTCTAATAGCATGAAGGTAAAATTAAAAAATGGAAAATACGACAGTCTATTTGTGCAACTAAACACAACATCACGAAATATTTTGATGTCGAACACATCTGTCTATAAATTGTAAAGTTTGGATTTTGCGGGAAATAAAGTATAAGTGAAGATGAATGGAATATATAAGCAATTTGCAGAACATATTAGAAGCTATGGAAGGAAAATATCATAAAACAAACTACAGTAAACGTTTGGAAATTTTTCAAATCAGTGAACAATGTGTTTAATTGAAATTTAAAATTTTTATAGAATAAAATTCGACAGTATGAAAAAAACAATGAATGGCAGTACCGTTTCTGCTATGTGTCATTTCTCAAATTATATCAACGAAATATCTCGAAAAGAGGGAAAGAAAATCAAGGAAGTTACAAAATGTTTCCGAAACTTTCCTCAATTGTGTTTCAATTGTCATACTAAAAAAAAATGAATTAACATATAGCAGCTCAGAGAAGTAACAAAATTTTTGAAGAATTCCAAAATGTGTTAATCTCACTAGGATCTCCTTCAACTGTTCCCTTAATTCAACTCAACACTCATTCGTCCTTTAGTTAAATTTAGAAAAAACTCTAGCAGACATATTCAACTGATTCCCTTAAAAAATTTTGCTGTGATAGCTATTCCCCGTCTTTTAAAGCAGTACGAACAGAACTCAATTTGCACTGGGACGGCGACACAGCAGAGAAAGAGTCCTCCAAAAGTTAACTCTGTCTTTCCTCACCCCTTACTCCCTCTATTAATTACACTCTCTTCCTGTGCTTGCTGTCATTCCCGAATACAAACAACAACGATCGTAACAACTGCTCATTATAAAAAAGACATTTATTTGATAAGGAGAAGATGTGAGGGTACGATATAGAGGCATTGCAAAGGATAATTTAAATAGCATTGCAGTTATGGGATCTCAAATGTGCTATACGAAATGCTAAAAAATGCAAAAATTGGAAATGTTTCTATCATATATTTCTAGTATGTCACATAATTCTTTTTAAGCATTTTAGATAAATACTATGAGAAAGATATTCTGCGGAATGTTGAAAATTTTTAAGACCACAAATTTTAAAAAAAAATTCAAATCTTCTTTATATCTGCAACTACTATTTTTTCGAATTGCTCATCTGATGATTCAGTAGTGTTCGAATTTAATTTAGCTTATTGTTGTGTGTTGTTATTTTAAAAATTTAGCGTTGTTATTCTAAAACTTGCGAAAAACAAAAAAAAAAAAAAAAAAAAAAAAAGACTGCGCGGTGAATTACGTTAACGCGTAGTGTCTCTTTAATGGATTAACTTAATGCGTACAGAGTCCCTCCAGAACAAGCAATGAATCAAACAATGAATATGAATTTTCACGTCGAATCTTCACGCTGAATCTTCACGTTGAACCCTTTGCACGCCCGCCTATCGCATTCATCAATTAATTATTTCCATTACAACCGACAATCATTGGACTGAATCCTATTCAAAGTAACCTATATCATAGCTAGTTGCATGCAACGAGCTAGGATTGTCTGGCTGTTTGCTTGGGGACATTAACTCTGTTAAGGGCCTAATGAAGTAAGGGAGAGGATTGAGGCTTGCAAAGAGTATGCTTTACTTGGTACAAGAAATTTATATTCATACACAACAATACTTTTGTCATTCTCCTTTTTTTCCATTTAGTTAGCTTATTTCTTATTTGCTAAGTGCTCATGTCTTGCAGCTGCTGAAGCAATGTCAGATGTAGAGGAAACTTTGAAGAGAATTCAGAGCCAAAAGAATGTTGCTGGAGTTATCGTTATGGACTCATCCGGTAGGGCTTATCAGTTCCTTATCATTTCTCCTCATTCTTTGTTCAGTTTATCTCACAACTTTAACTGCCTAGACTTTAACTTTCATAGGTCGAGCAATTCGATCAACATTGGATGATGAAGCTACACAACAACATTGTATATTGCTGCATCAATTGTGCGATAAATCAAAAAGTGTTATCCGGGAATTGGATGGCTCAAATGATCTCACATTTTTGAGGTTACGAACAAGAAAACACGAAATAATGATTGCACCTGACAAAGACTTCTTGTTAGCTGTAATACAAAACATTTCTGCGCAGTTTTGATTGTACAGTTCGTTGCAGTTTCTGATTCTGTATTTATTTATATGTGATAATAAGTTTTATATTTTTCTTATAGGAGCGATCTATAGATTAACGTTATTTCCCTGATATAAGAGGGAGGGAACGTTGGAGTGGAAAGAGAGTACAAAAATATAAACTAAAAAAAAAACAGCATAATGTGTTTTTGCTTTCGGTGTATTTTAATGAATGAGCTAAATTTGATTGTCTTCACTGTATTATTATATTTCGTCATCAGACCATAATAAAATTAATATTTTCTTCACTTTTACCCTGTTGTATCAAGGACACCTTGCGGAAGTTTCACCACGATTTTGCCACTTTCTTTTGATATGTGTTATCATAACACTTTTATTTAGTAGTGTTGACGTAGGAATTCATTAGACCAAATGTTGCGGTAATAAAAAATAAAAAAAAGGGACCAAACTCATTGGTTTTTTCCCCATTAAATTATTACTTTTATCATTTGGACATGTTTACTAGCTATAAGTTAGTGATATCTTAATTCAGTATTGTATTTCCAGGTGTGCACCATGCCTAGTTTCTTTGATATACTTGGATTAGGCTCACAAGAAAGGTCTTCGAAAAATATCTTACAGACAGCTACTGGTGAGCTACAGTGTTTGGAATAGTTAACTTCATGGATTATGTACTTTTATTTCTGTTAGGGAACCAGCATATAGATTGGTTACGCAGTATTTCAACAGCTTTCATGCTGTATTATATTTCGGAAGTCTTCCAGAAACTCTGATAGGAGACGTCATTACGGTTGCATTTAACAGTATTTCAAGATATCCTTGGGACTTTGCAGATACTTGGGCGCATAAGAAGAATAACCAAGTAGATTTTTAAATGAAATGTCCAAAATTAGTTTTATTTCAGATTCCAGCGAAAATGCTTCGAAAGGAAGTAGTGCAGGAGTACAAACACAAATGCAAAAAGGGTATTCTTTTGATTCTTCAGCGCTGGAACGTGCGGCTGATGCTGCGCGACAGCTAGAAATGTCTCGAAATGCCAAGGAAGCATTTGAAATGGCACGATTGCAAGAATTTACGAAACAGAAAGAATATGAGGCAGCTGCTAAGGTATATTCAGGATATAATAGTTTGAGAAGTTTGCAAGAAAACGATATACATGGACTTGAATGACTTTTCATGGACAATATAATAAACCATATTTATGAACGACTAATTTCAACTTTGCTGATTAGGTCATCTTAATTTCATAGCATTTCTGTTGTTTTAATTATTTTATTGGTTTTTGACATGTTGCAGCAAGCAGAAGCACAGATACAAGCACAGCGGTCAGAACAGATACGTGTTGCAGAAGAAGAAAGACGCAAAACTTTAGTTGAAGAAACAAAACATGCACGTGCTGTAAGTAAATAGAGATTTGGAATGTATTTATTATTATTATCTTTTTTTTTTTTTTTGAGACTTAGTGTCATTTTTCTAACCGTAGTATATTTTGGAAAGAAAACCTTTAGAGAGCAGAGCATCAAGATCACTTGGCACGTAAAAGACAAGAGGAAGAGCTAACGATGAAAGCGCGTATGCAAGCTGAAAATCTAAAGAAACAGGAGGAAAGTGTGCGTAAGCAGGAAGCCATAAGGAAAGGTAACATTTATTGCATCCAATTCCAATTCGTTCAAATTGTGTAACTTTCGTAAATTGTCCTGGTCTGTTAATCTATTCTATATTTTTATTGCAATCACGTATGGATTTTTCATTCATCGCCATATCCCAGATTATCGATTGATGAATCGATATATCATAATATCTTTTTTTTTTTTTGGATATTTTTTGAGTAAACTTGGGAGCTTTCAACAAATGGATTTCAAAAATGTTATTAGCGCATACAACAAACTATTTCAGCAACCATTGAACACGAACTGGCTTTAAAACATAAATATGATCTAGAAAAGGTTGAAGCTGAAACTAATGCTAGAGCTAAAGCCGCTCGCCAAAATCGTGATATTAATTTGGAACAATTACGTGCATCTGAAGAAGAGCGGAGAAAAACAACGATTGAGAAAATTAAGTTGGTATTTTAAGCATATGAGCGAAAGATTCCTCTAGTCACTACAAGCAGAGTTATAATTTATTTATGACATTAGTTAATTAATTTGTTTTACTTTCTCCATCGACATTCGTGATTTATTGCAAACTGTCATTTAATCCAAAAACAGACATGTTTTTCCACTTGAGGTGTTAAACCGTCAACTCAGCAGTTATGAACATGAAATAGTTTAATTTATCGGCTCTATGCTATTTTCTAATGCGTTTTAATGAATTTTTCGGGATCGTGAAAACCTCTTGTTACTGTAGTGCATCTAAAATTTTTCACAAAAAAGTTAAAATAGTTTACGCTTAAAATATGCAGGACCACTGGAACAGTCTTAGGTGCTGGACTACAAGAATTTTTGAACGATCCAAAAAAGATCGTCTCAGCTGTTAGTATTTTTTGATTTTCTTACTGATTTTAATTTATAATTAAATGGTGAGACGACATCTGATGCATCAATAAAAAATCAAGGAATGTATTGCGTCAGTTTATGTTACAGAGTGCATTTTATTGCCGTATTCAAAGAATTAATAATTTTGATTTTTGTACAGGTTGCTAGTATAACTGCGCTTGCTATTGGCATGTACGGCGCTAAACGAGGCACAGCAGTTGTAGCTCGTCAGATTGAATCTCGATGGGGAAAACCGAGTTTAGTTCGAGATACTTCTCGTATAACATTCTCAGAACTGTTCAGACATCCAATCAAGACATTTAGAACCGCTTTTCGAACTCTGGATGATCCTTTGAAAGGAATCATTCTAAGTGTAAGTACTTTCTCGTAAAATGAACTTTAATAATGAATTTTATTTCTACTATTAAGGAAAGAAATTTTTTAAGCCCGAGTTGGAAGCGCACTTGCGAGATATTGCAATAACTACGAGAAATACAAAACGGAATCATGGTCTTTTCCGGAACATACTGTTTTATGGTCCACCTGGTACTGGCAAAACTCTTTTCGCCAAGGTATGTTTTAACATCAGATAAAAAATGGAAACATTATTTGAACACACACATGTATCTCGTTTTGTCCGAACATTTTGGTAATAGTATTAACATATAATTACATTTGATTGTTTGAATTTAAACAAACTGAATTCTGTATAAAAGTGACAGATCAAAATAAGGCATTGCTCTCTCGCACTATAACGACATTGTTGATCTTCTAAATTGCTAGAACTTTTGCTTTTTTCAGCTTTGTATCGTGATTCTATTGTTAGTAATAAATGATAAAATAAGCTTTTGCATTCATGATTTTGTTCCAGAGTTTAGCTCATCATTCGGGCTTGGATTATGCTGTTATGACTGGTGGTGATGTGGCACCTTTGGGACATGATGGCGTTTCTGCGATGCACAAGGTTTTTGATTGGGCTGAACACACGAGAAAAGGGTAAGGATTTATTTTTATACATTATCTTTTTATGATCACTCATAAGAATGAAGTAATTTTGATGCTCATTAGAAACTTCTAAATTTTTTTGTAGATGATTAACTTAAGTACTCTAAATAAAGTTTTTCTGTGCTAAAAGCTGGAAACTGTGTGGATCATTTTTTACTATCTTTTCTTCTAGTTTGGTGCTCTTTATCGATGAAGCTGATGCATTTTTGCGTAAGAGAGCAACCGAGCAAATAAGTGAGAGTATGCGCGCTACGTTAAATGCATTTCTGTTTAGAACTGGTGAACAGTCTAAAAAGTGAGTTTTTTTTTTCTAACGAATGATTTTTGTAACAACTATTGGGCTACGGAAGCTAAAGAACAGTTAATTTACTTTTAAAAATTTTTGTTCATTTGGACTCAGTAATTAAGACTTATTGACTCATTAAGACTCATTAATTCTTAAGATTTATGTTAGTTGTTGCTTCAAATCAGCCGGAACAGTTTGACTGGGCCGTGAATGATCGATTGGACGAATTAGTTGAATTCAAATTACCCGGTATGTTAGTTATCTTATTTTACTATGTTTTAACAAACAACACAGAATAAAATAGATCAAAAAAGCGTTTTTCTGCATTTTTTAAGGAACTGCTTTAAGAAAATCCAGTGATTGTGTTTTTATATCCATATCATCACGAATTCATCACATCTCTGCTCTTAATGCATTTTATTTCATCATTTCTTAAGAGCTGGCTTTTTGTTAATTCGTGAACAAGCGTCTCAAAATGGAATATTTCAATACAAAAAACTGATTAAATATTGATGTTATAAGTGATGGATATGGTATAGAATTTTACCTGTGTTGATGTCATAATATAAAGGATGCAGTTTCTTATTTCAGTTGTAATAAAAAACTTCAGGTCCCATGGAACGTGAGCGTATCATTTTGCAGTATTTTAATAAATACATTGCTACACCAGCTACGTCAGGTTCTAAAAAAGCACGCTTAAAGTTAGCAGACTTTGACTGGGTCAAAAAATGCACTGATATCGCACAGAAGACAGATGGAATGAGTGGTCGGCAGCTTTCCAAGCTTGTCATCGGTTGGCAGGTGGTTAATAAACAATATGTTAAATACAGATATTATAACTGACATATGTTGTGAATATGACATGAGTTTGCTAAATTTTGTAGAAATGTTGGTTTCGTTATTTAGATTATATTTATTGGGAAGTTTCTTCAAAATTTTAAATTTAAGTAAAAAAATAAAGTTATTTTAAATTAAAGGGAGTAAAAGAATGAGAAGGATATTACTTACAATTCATATGTCGAATTTTAGAAGTCGGATATTGGTATTTAGTTATAGCATTTAAAGTCTTAGGCAGCTGCATATGCTTCTGAAGATGGCGTACTTACAACCGAAATGATCGATCGTTGCACAGATGATATGGTAAATCAGCACAAACAGAAGATTATGTGGCTTGATAGGGAGCAGTTATCTGTGAGGCACTTTGGACACAGAGTAAATTTTTAATTTCACTGTTTCGAATTCTTATCTAATATTAATGCCAAATAAACCAGTGGTTTATAGTTTTTATAACTAATTCTTGAAATTTTCATTTATGGGAGAGATGATTGGGAGGAGCATTTTTTCCGGAAATCGAGAAATTTGGTTTTTGTCTTAAGTATTTTAATCCAGCTACTAGATTTATCAAGTTTGTTGATTTTTTGTATTTTGCTCTAACTTGGCATTTTAGATACCGGAAGAATTGCCAAACCTGATATCCCATTCACAAAAGGAGAGAACGGTATCGTAAAAATCATTTTATCTACCATCCAAAAACAACTTTTGTGGATCGTATCATTTTGTGAGAAGTTGTAGATGTTGTTTGTTCAATTGTTATAAAATTTGATATCTGCACTTTCTGATCATTCTGGATGTTATCATTTTAAAAAAAGTATGGTTCAGCGAGAAATCATCATTAAAAAGAATTGGATGATAAAAATTAATGTTAAAATAAAAGCTCATTGTTGTATCTGTTCAGGTAGAAGATTTTGAAAAAAAAATTTTGTGCAGCAACTACATTTGAATGCTGCATGAAAATTTGTATACAGTGAAAGGAGTATACTTGTAATGGAAGGAAGCTTGATCTGTTCACCGAAAAAAAAATTCTGAAGTAAGCGATGAAATGTCGCTAAGTTTAATCCAGATATATCTAATCCAGTTTTTACCGCCTTGTATCTCTCTATAGCAGATCACTGCAGTATATTTGAAACATACAACAAAGTTTCATGGAATTTTGTTTTTTATTGCTGATTAACAACTGCATACAATAACTTGTTCAGTCAAACCATAAAAATGTGCTGGGCTTTTTGAATAGATTTGAAATTCTTGAAGTGTTCAAGATTTTTGTTGCTCCCATGCATAGCACTTAATTATTTAAAATAATGCATTACTCCACTGTCCGTGTTCAGATTTAACTGCACTCTGAAATGATATCAGAGATATACCTTTAATCATTTCAGAGATATATCATATAATATCTTAATCGAGCAGAATGATTATGATTGCTAGTTGATAGACATAGAAAGTGACAATAAATACATAATTTTTACTGATTGACAAAAGTGTGAAATAATTGGTAAAATTTTAAATATGAAAATTATTAACTAGCTAAACATCTGAGCAGGATTAAATATGGTAGAAAATGGAAAATGATAACACATATCAAACGAACTCTATGCATCATCAATGCGGCGGTATGGGCAGCAAGTGAGAATTTGGAATAAAAGCGGGAAGGATGAAAGGAAGTTACTTTCACAGGTTACTCATTATTTCACTAAAGTTTAGTGAAGTTGAATTTTTTACATAATCTGCATACTAACACTTAGATTATTTCCTAAACTTGTGCTGTCTACAGCAATGATAATAAATAATATCAATATCTACCTGAATTGAGTGCTACCTGTAATGTATGCTATAAGCAAGCCAAATATTATCAGTTGAATTTGCATTGCTACTGGATTGCATTTTAGTGCTGTCTAATTACTTCCTTCGACTAAAATGTATATGAGTGTCTGGAGGTGTCTGGTAGAAGAGTGGCTCTCAACGGGTGGCAAGCAACCGAGGAACATTTGAATGGCACCACTGGCACCACTGGCACAGGCAGCATCAATAGCAATAACAACAACAACAATAACTTCGTCTTCCCTATTCTCTACTTGAATGATATCTTTCGGATAACGGTCATTTGCAGTTGGATTATTAAATTAATATTATTGTCATAACAACAGCAATAGAAAACACAAATTTTATTCTATAAATTTTATCCCATAGATTTTACAAATAATCTGATCACTTCATACTTCAATGAAATCTTAAATTTTATTGTCTTTATCAGTTCATTATTATTATCATTATTATTATTTAATAATCTACAGTTTTCTCAAGAATATATTGGTATTTTTTTTGTGTAATTCTACTCGAATACAATGTTCCAATTCATGCTTATTGTTCGATACTTGATTTTTTTTTTTGTTCTTTTTTGAATTTAGAAATTACTTTTCTCTCTTTACACTTCGGTTTTATATCAAACCACTTTTGTTCTTGATCTACCAATGATAATGATAGAGTTTGCAAAATAATTTTATTCTGCAATATTCCAGTTTCGGTAAAATGCCTAAATCTTATATGATAATTAAAATTTTGGTTTAAAAATTAATTACTACATTAAACATTAAAGTTATCGCTATACAAATCTGTACGAATGGATAATTTAAGAATTAAAAATTTCAGCATTTTTGTTTACACAATGAAATTTGCAACATTTTAAGATTCAAACCATTTTTCTCTTTTGAACTTGGCAAAGCTTGTTGTAATTTTTCAAAATAAAATAAATGACTGTTGGTTATATCTATCCCACTTGTTGCTGTTATATGGATGGCGAAATAAGCGGTACGGATTGGTACCACAAACAACAGTGAAAGAGGACGAAACTGGTCGATTTTTTGATTATTATTTGAAAAAAGAACTGGAGATTTATGTATTAATTTATGTATTACAGTAGATTATCTTTATTTCATTTCTTCAAGTAAAAGACAAAAAAAAAATGATATTTTAAAGAGGTAGAAGCATTTATCAGGTAGATATTAAGGTAAACTTACACTTCAATAATGGATATCTGAAATTGTAAACTACAGATGATTATTTATAATAATTTTCCGCTTATTTATTTGTTATTAGTGTTGTTATCATTATTATTTATTACTATTAACTATTATTATTATTATTTGTTATTATTACTATTATTATTTATTATTACCATTATTATTATTTATTATTACTATTATTATTATTTGTTATTACTATTATTGTTTATTATTATTGTTACCATTTTACTATTTTTAACTTATTTGTTATTATTACTATTATTATTTATTACTATTAATAATAATAATAATAATAATTATTATTATTATTACTGACCAAAAAATTAATAGAAATTGACTTTTTTATATGAAATTGTAAAGCAAATTCCCTAGTTTGCTGAACATCTTAAACTCACTCTTTATAGTTATGTGAATGGTGAAGAAAGGCTTTCTTGCAGATGATAATAGTTTTAAAAAATTTAATATAGCTAATATCAAAATTAGAAAATATGTCAATTGATGAAATTTAAATATTTGATATGTTCATTGTCACAGAATATCAATTATTCAATTTAATCAAATTATATTTCATTGCTTGTAATAGCAATTTCAGTTTTGAAAAAATATAAACATTCAGTACTAAGATAATTTTTACGACAAAGTATTAACTAGTACAATAAATTTTAGTATAAAAATGTTTGAAAACTAAAAGCAACAAATTATACCAAAATTAATCATTTCATAGTTTTCAATAAGAATTCATGAAATCATCCAAAAATTAAGTATATTTAGTATTATTCGTTTGATAGCAGAATTTTGTCATAGAAAAAAAAAGTGCTATAGCAAAGATTATGTTTTGAAAAAGAAAAGAAAAAGACTATCAATCTTAATCTGACATGCATTTATCAGAACAGTGAACAGCTCACAGTCCTTAATTGTCACAATGTGTAGGTGGACAACAACATTGGTCATTTTTGTTAACAAATGTAATTTTTGATCTTCTACTTATTTCATTTAAAAAAATAAATTTAAACTTCAGTGCTTTTAGATCTAACGAAATTGGTAATTTTTTTCTTTTTTTTTTTCATCCTTTTCATAAATTTTTGTTATTATTAGAATAAAATATTATATATTCATCAATATTAAATTTTTTCAGTTTTTTTAAAATTTTAATGTCATGAATTTTTCTTCTTTCCTTTGTGCTAGAGATATAATAGAGAGAGAGGGAGAGAGTGGTACCACAAATTTATCCAGATATTATTCCGGGATAAAATTTTGGTATTGTGCATACCCAAAAGTAGGATCCATGAAAATTATAAAAACATGGAGAGTAAATATGAGAGAAGATGGGAATAATAAAACCGGGACATTGTGCCAGGCTGAAACAGCTTCGTACTACTACTACTACTACTACTGCGGGTAGCCACACAAGTAGATAGATGGATACAGGACAGTGCCAAACACCGATACGGGAAGGACCTCATTCTTTCCTGTTGTCTCACTGCACCCTCTGCACCGGGAGGTGACAAAAGAGAGACGTATAGACGAGTGCTTTAGAGGGTGGGTGGTAGTGGTAGTTGAACTAAACTGAACAAAATTGAACTGAACGAACGGAACTAGGGCGAGCTTCCTTGTCGTGCTAGGTACTCCCAGCCTGTCTCGCCTTCATTTTGCACTACTCACCCGCTCAACCATTGACACTCATAAACCAACCACACCAATGATCAACCGACCGGTCAGCGACCGTTAGGCTGGTGCCACTGGCACCATTTCAGGCATAGTTCTCATTATTAATGCTGAATGCTTTAAAGGAACGAAGAATAAAGTCTCACTCAATCACTCTCTCTCTCTCTCTCCTCTTAACCTTTCTTGGACTCAACTCGACCCTTTCTTTCTCCATTTTTTTTTTTCCTGCAACCATTAGGTACCTTTCTCATCCTGTAACCATGGATTGTCACCAAATCCTCTCTTTCTATTTGCATATTTTGTCAACATTGCATCGAATACACACACCGTATCATTACGATGTGAACAATTGTTAATAGTTAGCATTATTACTAATCGTTGGACATTTATTATAGTATTAGACAGTTCTTTGACTTTTTTAATTTTAAATTTCTCCAGTTTAAAATTTTAGATTTTTATTTCAAATATTTATTGAAATTCTAACAATAAAGGGAAACGAACGTCACAACCGAATAATAAGAGAAATTTTAGATCAGTGCATTTTATCATTCATTCATTTTCTCTTCTGAGATTTTACTTACGATTAACTGAGCATTTTACATGTTCTAAAATTTGTTAGTATTAAATTTTTCATGCTATTGAATATTCTGGAATTATTTTTTAAATTTGTCATGATATTCTGTTATGATTCATAAATTTTAAAACATTTAAACTGGTCTTTCAGAGGCAATGAAAATTTTGAGGATTTAAAGTTGGATAGAATTTAGTAAAGATTAAAGAATTTGCAGTAATTTTTATGAGTATGAATAGTCTAAACGTTATGCTGCAAGCTTTTATTCATGCAAGTACACGTCCGCATTAATACGTTTTGCAACGTGAGCTTAAATTTTAAAACGTTATTTTAAATTATTTAAATTTCTACTTTAATATTCCATTTTTTCGCTCTGAATTACCAGTGAACATTTTTAAATGATTATTGATT